AAAATACACACACGCTGCATCCACTATACAGACACACAATGCATTCACTACACACACTGCAGGCAATCCACAGCCACTGCACACACTGCATCCACTACACAAATGCACACTCTGCATCCACTACACAGACACTGCATTCACTACACACACTGCATAACATAATAGATGTGGGCGTTTTTTGCTTGGTGTGGTTTTGTTGGGGATGGGGGGGGTCAGCATTTCATCCTTTGTTCCAGGCAGGACAATGCCTTGGGTCCGCCCTGGATATAGCTGAGCAACATATGAATATATTCGAATAAGCAACCTAGTAAAATACTCCAAAATGGGGCATGGACCCATCAACACCATCTATGAAGATTTGCACTTAAAGACCTGAAATTGTCACCTCTCTTTTACAGCACTGTACCTTCAAAGGATAGTGTCAAGGTCATACATTGGGCATATTGTTTTATTCAGTAGATGTAACGGAGCATAATTTTATCACAGTGGCACTTATTAAATGCACAAAATTCACAATAAAAATGCAACAAGTATGTAAAAAAAAAAACATTATTTTTTTTTCACCACAAACTTTTACATAAAGTTAAGGCACAATATGCGCCATATAAGATACCCAAGAGGGTATGCTTTCTAAAATGGAATCCCTTTGTGGGGAAAGTTGAACAATCAAACTGCTTTGATGCCACAAAATGAGACACAGGCCCATCAAATCCATCTATGGAAATGCTAAGCATAGAAACAGAATAGTGGCAAAAGTATACAATGGGAGTATCGTTGTGAACACAATATGTACAGGAATAGCACATATCAGCTTTATGAAATACACATTAAAAACCTTTTTATATGTCTGTATTTCAAACAACAGAATAAACACAATTTTATTACAATATTTAGCAGAGATTGGAGGGGAAATGGCTAGATGAAAAGTGTCAAAATTACCATAGGTAAATAGCCTGTGATGTCTTCTTTTTATAAATATATACTTTTATGTGGCAATTTTGTTTTCTGTGATGGCTATTAAACTTATAAGACAAACACACCAAATTCTAAAATTGTTTCACATTGAAATTTTATTTTGCTCCTTGTATTTCATTAAAATCCTAGAAATATTAAATACTCTGTAAATCAAGACACATAAATTAATTTATTTTGAATTACTTTTCCTTAGCTGGACATATTATGAACATTTTATTTTGCATTATTTTATAATAAATTGGAATTTATATACATACAAGTCATATCAAATCAAAGCCCCTTTTGTCCTTAAAAAAACCTGTATATAATATATACAAATAATATATATAATAAGCATTTTTTTTCCTGTGTGCTCTTACGGAGTTCATTAGGGGAATGGTCCCTTTTTGCATACCTAAATAAACTCACAACTGACTCACTGAGCTTGCTTGCTTGGAGTCTCTTAAAAGTAGTTTCTTCTAAGTGTGCTATTTTTAAGTACTTCAAAACCAGGCATAAACCAGCAAGTAATTATTGTTTTACTGTCCTGTACTTGCTGCTTTTGGTAACTATGGAAATGGATGTTAGCAAGAGTGAAGGTTTGACTCAGTGCACATCTTGCTACATGTATGCATGCCTGGATGAATCCGTCCAGACCTCTGTGACATGTGTGAGTGAGTGGCTTCTTTGGAAGCTCGTATTGGAGATATGAAGAGGCAAATCGCAACATTGGGACAGATTGACAATCTTGAAATGGGTCTGCTGCTCACTGAGTGGTAGCAGGTGGTGGGAAGAGGAAAGGTTTAGCAAGTCCTGACTTTGTACAACCTAGCAGATTTGTCCGTTTGAGTGAAGATGTTAGGAGCATCATCTTAGGAGTAGCTGTACTGGAGGAAGCTGTTCCTTCTAATAGCTGAGCGAACAGCCCCTCTAGTATGGGTGGGGTTAAGAATGTAAGAAAGGCTAGACAGGTTGTTATAGTAGGCAACTCTATTATTAAGAGAGTAAAAAGGGTAAGCTGCTATTCTAATCAATTCAACTTTACAATTTGCTGTCTCCTGGGGCATGTTTCTGACAGAGTAGACAGATTATTTGGAGGGGTGGACGATGACCCTGCTGTCATGGTCCATATTGGTACCATTGACAAAGTCAGAGGAAAATGAAGGGGCCTAAAGAACAAGTTCAGGGAATTAGGAAGTAAACAGAAGAAAAGGACATCCAAGGTAGCAATTTCAGAAATATTACCTGTGCTGCATGCTACAGTAGAAAGGCAGCGGAAGGTCAGGAAGGTTAATGTGTAGCTAAAGTCATGGTGTAGGAAGGAGGGATTTGGCTTTTTAGAGCACTGTAGTGTTAGGAATACATATCTGTATTCCTAACGCTAACGCCCTGATGCCCCTTATTATTTAGTTCCCCCTTTGTGTAAAAAAAAATAAAAGTAAATACAAATTAAATGAATAGTTCACCTTTTCCCCAGTGTCAAGTCTCACTCAGCGCTGAGTCGAGTTACGCCTTCAGGATGATGGGTCAATCTTTGAGCATTGCAGAACATAGGCACAAGTGTGGCACATGAGCCTACAATTCCTCCATAGAGGAATTCAATGATTTTCTTTCCCGACCAAGACAGCAATGCGCATGCACAAATTATGTCACAATATGCTATGTTATGAATGCCGGGAAGTAACATTCCCTGCTCTCATACCCAGAGGGCTTGGAGGCGTGGCTTGAAGCCACGCTTTTTAGACCTTTAATAATTGAAATAAAGGGGTTTGGGGGTAGGACAGGGTGGCCAGTACTGAAGGCACAAAAACAACTTCAGTAAGATCAAGTGCCTACAGTGTTTCTTTAATGTATTACTTGTCGGGGGAATATATTTATATATGATCTTTAACTGTCCTGTCTATTGGTAAATCCCTTTAATTATTAATTGGATACTGCACTTTATTCAAATACTTGTCCTAAACTAAGAGCCAATGACATAGATTTAGTTATTACAAAACAGTCAGCAAATAGTCTTGTACTTGTACCTTTATTTTTCAGATGTTCTAGGATTTCTTGAATTATTGTGCCAAGATTCTACAGACAATGTATTAAATATCAAAATACCAACAAACACAAGAAAACCTCTGGACTGGTAGAACCCATACAAAGTAAGACATTCTAAGCTGTATAAAATGCAAGAAGCCAGGTAACAGAGTTTCAGTTTCTAGCTTAGATTCTCTAACTGACATCACCAAACACTTTTTCCGTCTGTAATACCAGGATCAGCACAAATGTTTTCTTCTTGTTGGGAGTTTTGTAAATGTTCTACTTCCTATGGTTTGATTGTGTAGTTTGTCTACCAGAATTGTCTCTATTCCTTGATCGTTTCATTTCCTATGAACACGGTATTAGGCTGTAAGGGATATTATCTGTCTTGCTTTTTTTCTAATGAAACTTATTAAATAACAGGGAATCTCCTGCATGTTATGCCCTTACATCCATTGGGATTCCAGCACAGATGCAACATCTGCTTCCTTGTGGACCTATGTCAATCATTATTCTCTTTTTTTGTGGTTTATTAAAGCCTTGAGCTTTAGAAAAGCAATTGTAATCACATGTCTTTGTGCCTCCCCTCCCTTCTCCCATCTTTCTCATCCACTCCATTGCATCTTACCATTTAACATACTAGCCATTATCCACTCACATAAATATCTGTATTGGCCTCAAAGCCCCAACATTAACTCTCTAGTGGCATAAAAAAAAAACCCTCTGATTTATTGGTTCCAAACCTAGGTCAACCTTGTGTGCCTGGGGTCTAATAGGCAAGCCCATCTTAGTCTATGTCTGCACTTTGATGTTTATAGCAGTCTTTTTAATTTATTTATTTTAATCTTTATGTATGCATGTAAAAAATGTGCTTCTTTCCTCTGATTTATATTTTATTTTTATATTTTTTTGTTGTCATTCTTTATTTTTGCCATGCTTATCATCACAAACATGCCCGTAGTGCCACAACAGCAGGTACAAGCTAAGAGGGTAATTCAGAGAGAAAACAATATCACGGGATGCAAGAACGGCACAATTTTTGTTAATAAATTCAAGTTCGGTAGAAATGTCTAAAATTTAAACTTCTATTAGCTGTGTAAATACAAGGTGAAAGTTAGACAAAACGTTTAATATCGAGAGATACTATGAAGAAACATGGTTATATCAGTAGCCTAGCTCGTTATCCTGAATTGAACTACAAGGTGTCCTGTTAGGTACATGCGTCTACAGGGTTAAAGATAACTTGGGATAACATGCTGAATATGCATCAGAGCCGCTAATTAGACAGCTAGGATAAGCTAGACCATGGGTCCTCAAACTCCGGCCCCCCAGATGTTGCTGAACTACAACTCCTTTGATTCTCTGGCTATCTATGTAATTCAAAGAATCATGTGAGTTGTAGTTCAGCAACATCTGGGGGGCCGGAGTTTGAGGACCCATGAGCTAGACACACATAGTTATGTCGTTGCAGTGAAAAGTGTGTTTATATTACAAGAGTATTAATGTTTGTAACTTACTAATGGCTAAGCTACCTGTAGGCTACGATTATTACCACCCTGACTGCACTCAGAAGCAGGTTTATACCCCTGTAGCTTTTAGCTAGTGCGGTATAAAGTAATTATAAAACAAATACAACACGTGAGAGTAAGACAATGAGAGTTCTAAGAGTGACCACAAGTTGAGCTAAGCCATAGTCAGAGTCTGCGATCAGGTTGTGAGGGACCGGCTGCCGCTGGTGCTACCCTGCGAATGTCCTCAGTCAGCCAATGCCAGTATAGGGTGGTGAGGCAGCTGGTGCATGTAGGGTTGATTCATGCCTTGGGGGGGAGCCCCAATGGCTCTCTGCTGGGTTGGTGCCCCTCTGTAGTTCGCTGGGATGTCTTCTCCGGCCACGGGGTCGACTGACTATCCCTGCTGCAGTCCGCCGGCGGGTCATGGACTTGTTGCGCCTATGGACCACACATCTTTGGTCTGAGGCCTTAGCGGGAGCTTGTGCCATTGGGCCATTGATCCCATCATCAGAATCGTGGGCCTAGGGTTCCACCGGTTCCCAATTTTCCGATGGCTGGCGAAGCAGCGCTGTCCAGTTGGGCGGCGGGTTGTGCTGGTTCGCTAGGGCATTGCACCCTTTGAGTCTCTGGTTTTGAGGAGTGTTTTGTGGCAAGGGTTGTCGACTGATGCTGGTTTCCAGGGGTCGTAAGCGGCTGTGGCTGCGGCTGCGGCTGCTCTGCATGGGATGCGATCTGGCTCCAGAACACTGCACAGATTCTGTCAAAGTCTGCATGGAATTTGGCTTCCCAGTCAGGCACTCGTGTTGTCTCTGCTGCGTCCGCCATTTTGGCTGTGGCTCTGCGGCAAGATTTGGCAAGGCAAGCTGGTAGGACGCCTATGTAGCACAGCTGCTTCTCCACTGGGGGGGTCAGGATAACCCCCACTGGTCCTGAGGGGGGGATGATGGGTCAGCTATAGCACTCTAACGGGTAGGCCGAGTCTTCCCTCCATGTGGTCCGCCTGGTGAGTAGGCCGCAGTAGTTAATTCTGGCCTTGGACTCTGGACATATCTCCCAAGTCACCTGTGAGGGCTCCCCTGTTGTGATGATGTGGGCCTTGTGGTTGCGTTTTTGGTGGTAGCACCTCAATCATTTACCAAGTTTTGCTGTTGTTATGTGAGAAGCTTGCCACAAACACGTCTGTCGGCCATGCTGGTTAGGCCCCGCCCCCAGCCTAATTGATATTTAATTCCATATATATTCCCCTTTCCTAGGCTGCTCACTATCATCCTGCTTTAAAAGTATTCTAACTTTAGTTATATGAAAAAGTTATGGTGTATATATGATGCTGAGACTCACACAGCATCCATACACATTTCCTAAAAATAGAGTCTAAAAGTATCCCTTACTGTAGTTTTATAGCTTCCCTTATACACCAAAACTGCTTCATTAATTTTATGCATTAACTTTTTTGGTACTCAGAGTGTCCCTTTAAATATTGTCAGGATATTCTGGTTCTCCTATGAAGAGACAGGCTTGTTGACCCAGGCGGTGACCTAAAATCATTTTCCCGTAGAAAGTCACTTATTTTCTTATTATACTCAAGTGTATAAATAAAGTATTTATGTTAACACTTTTCTGCATTTTTAAAATCTAATTCTATTTTTTAGTGATTGAGAGTCAAAAATGGGTTGCAAGAGAATACTGAGAACTGGCAGCAGCTGAAATAGCCTGCCCTTCGGTCGGTCCCCGCTCAGATCGCAAGCTGATTTTTGCTCATCTTGTGCCATTACAGAGAGAACATATCTGAAGCATATCAGACTGGTCCCACCCATACGGGCAGTCCAGATCCGAAATGCCAGCAAGTTCTCTCTGCACGAGAGATACAGCAACTCCAGACGATCGTTTCAGCCTAGTTAGGCATCATCAGTGAGGCATAGTTGATATCTCCTTAGGCACTGTGAGCAAGGGGTCCACGTCTGGATTATCCCTTTAAACTTGTGGAGAGTCAAAAATGGGTCGCAAGAGAATACTGAGAACGGGCAGCAGCTGAAATAGCCTGCCCTTCGGTCGGTCCCCGCTCAGTTCTCAAGCTGATTTTTGCTCATCTTGTGCCATTACAGAGAGAACATATCTGAAGCATATCAGACTGGTCCCACCCATACGGGCAGTCCAGATCTGAAATGTCAGCAAGTTCTCTCTGCACGAGATATACAGCAACCCCAGACAATAGTTTCAGCCTTGTTAGGCATCATCAGTGAGGCATAGCTGAAATCTCCCTAGTAACCGTGAGCAAGGGGTCCACGTCTGGATTATCCCTTTAAATTTGTGGAGAGTCAAAAATGGGTCGCAAGAGAATACTGATTTTATAGTGATTGGAGCACAAGGCAAATGATAAATAGCATTATGACCCAAGGACATCAACAACCAGGAAGACTACTAGTTCTCTCTATACTATAGTCCATAGGAACAAATGGCAGAGATGAGATTACCCACATGGATATTCTGGAAGAAGACAATTACTGGTCCAATGCCTACAGACCTCACGACCCACGATGACACTGACAATGTTTTCAGATCTTAACTTCATGGACGAATTTTCTGCAGAGGAGATAGCTGCAATCATGAGGGATATATGTATACTTACAAAGACATGGCTTCAGATGCCAATTCACATAAAAATCTAACATACAACTCAAAACCCCAATCTAAGTTAAATGAAGTGTACCAACTACCACTCAATTAATACTCTAGTGCAAATACATACCCAATCCTTAATAGTGTATCTTAATCGTGTGACATAAAGTACTTAATGCAAGCCCAAAACCACATAAAGTGTAAAATATAAGCACATAAACAATGTACATAAAGTGCAAAAAAGGCACATATGATAAAGTGCAAAAATGTAAGCACAGAAAATGTGCAATATAAAAAGTGAACACAAATCATGTGCAAAAATAAACATGCATATAAAATGCAAAATGTGGACACACAATCGTGTGCATGAAGGTGCAGAATATGGTCACATCGACAATGTACTAAGTGTAAACACATATGTGTAACCACATTTGTTGTCCTATGAAGGACATTAAAAACATTTTTGAGACTTTGACACTATGTTCCAGACAGCCTGGGTGGCTCTCTGCTCTATTAGAGTAAAATAGGTTCTTTGTATTAAAGGACATATTACAAATTGTCATCTTACAAATTTTGTAGATGACTACATATCTGTTCTACCTGTTAGCATATATTATTATGTTATTGTCCATTATCTGACATCCCAAAAATCATTCAATAAGGGTACAAGAAACTTTCCTCAATAAATTTGTAAAACAAATAACAACTTAGTTGCTTGCATGCACAAAATATCAGTGACGAAAAAAGTAACAACTAACCAAACAATAGTGATGCACTCAAATATTTCATTTCATGTGGTAAACATACTAATAATAAATATTAATATAATGACACTAAATGTTATCCAGGTAAACCTACAAAATAAATACATACATAATAGTGCAGAAAGCTATTTATACAGAAATAATTCCTTCCTGTGAAGAGCACCCTGTGAAAATACACTCACTTTCTTCAGAGCCTCGCAATCCTGGCTCTGGAAAAAGAGTTGTAGGTAGAGAGGGGAGACCTGCACTGCAACTTCCATCCTTTTTTTGTTACGCAACATATATGAAGAGAGAGCAGTGAGAATCTAATAGTGCAGTATGTAAACACTTTATTAAACCAAAAGATTAAAAACTCTTACTTTGTACATTAAGCAGCATGTATATATAAAGTGCTGTATATGTTCAACAAGAAAGGATACTGTATGTGGTAGATTGCGATCCTCCATTCTCAGTATACGCGTCCTCCCTCCTAATGATGCAAGACGTTCAATTAGTGACACGTATTGCTCCACGTCACGGGAACTTCATCAGACCAGTTCCGATGCTACCTTATTTACATCTCACTGTCTTTTAATTTTCCTGTTATTGGTGAGTGATGTGGCTTTTATCAATAATCATTATTAAGCTTAAAAGGAGAGCTACCAATAAATAGAATACAGAATATATGTGAAAGAGAGTAAGTGGAATTTGTGACACAGCAAGAACACAGGGTGAAAATAAAATGCAGCGCGTCAGCAAGTGAGTTGGATTGAGTGGAAATCGTGACCAATAAATTCGCCAGCTAAAAAGAGTTATGAATATGCAGTCACAGACTGAATAAACAAAATGAAAATAAATCTTATTGTTGATAAAAAAATTAAAATGTAATTCTTCAATAGATTTCATGTGAAAAACTTGGAATATGGGGCTATGCAATAATGAATGTTGCACTACAATATATTACAAGTATGCTGAAATAATTACACAATAACAGAAAATACTACAGCTACCGATCAGTTGGATGTATCAATGATAGTTATATAAAAAAAATGAAAGTGGCAGATAATTCAATTAACAATGTATTTTAAATAGTCAACTCCTGAAAGGGTTAGTAGGGAAATTAATAATAGGCAGCATAAATATTATTGTGTTACCACATCACAAGTTCAAAATAAATCACAAAAGTTGTCCAATGCACCAGACATGAAAAGAGAGTAGTAGTGTTGTGGAAATAAGATAATGCCAGTAAATCAGGCACCGGTATGGCAATGAGGAACTCAAAAGAAAAGTCACCAAGTCCACACCGTCAACATGACGTAATCTACTTCCCCATAACCACTGATACCTAAAAGAAAAGTCCATTGGGAATCTGATCAAATCCACTGACAAAATAAACGCTGTGTTCTCATGATAGCACCTAACCAGGGTCACCAGTGTACCAAGTCAAAAAGCCTAGTACATGACGGAAAAATTTGTTTCAGCTGAACCACTTTGTTTGAAAATAATATGTTTTTAGGAATGGCAGACATTAGGCAATATGGTAGTTTAACTAACACAATCCCTCCATTAGGCACAGAGCACAAGTGTGAAAAAATAACCATTGGCTTCCTTCCCCTGATGATATAATTAGTGGCTTCTGATGAAATGTTGTCTGCCAACCATTTACAGGAAAATTACTATTTCTTGAACTCAGATTTATAATTGATGGACGAGGTGGAAAAAGTGTTTAAACTTTTTAAACCTCAAGGCTCAAGGGCCAGATGATTGCACCCACCTCTTAATGTTTTTTTTTTGAGTCCCCCTTTAAGGTGATTCTTGAGTGTTTGACAGTTTTGCTTCCTGTGGAAGTTAACAACTACAAATTATGCCAAAATAATTGACCCATCTCACTGATAAATATTTAAGCATAGAGTCAGGCTTTTTTTCAAAATCTTTGCATTAATAGTTCTTTTCCGTTCAAGTCCCAGGTAGAACATTTTCAAGATAGTGGGGCATCAGATAACTTGTCCCTAGCATTGTCAGTCAAACCATGTAGTGTTACTTTAATCCTGCTGAGATGAAGGTTGTCCCTTAGTATTGGGAAAACACTCTGTTAATACTAACCTGTTCTTACTTGGTTTGATACTTACAAAGGGGTTATGTAAGCCCTAAATAACCAAACAACTACAGTGGGCATAGTATTTAGTTTGCATGTAATGTTCCTTTATTGACTCTATTTGATGCTGATGTTTCTAGTTATTAATTTTTGATACCTGAGCGGGGATTTATCGAAGTACAAACTTTTGAGGCATCCCTGTGCTTTTTGTCCGTTCTCACAGTTCTCGTATTTTTTGTTTTTGTTGCAATGCATTCACTTAGGCTCTCCCTAAGTTCAAAGGGAGATGTGGACCTGATGTTCACTGTACCTAGAGAGGTATCAGCTACACCTTGCTGAAGAAAGATCGTCCGGGTTACTGTATCTCACAT